ATTCTAGATTAGGTGATCGGTTCATATATTCTATGAGCAATGTCCAGTAACCAAAATGAATGAGTCCAAGCTCCAACTATTTCAAATGTTTAAAGATAACAGGCAAAAATAAACCATCCAAACTAGAAGCTGAAGAGAAAGATACGTAACATTGGAAATTCCTATAGTAAACGGAGGCACAAGGTAATCACAGGCTAGACTTTCACCTACTGGAAGCCTATAGGGACGAATTTTGGCTGCGGATTTTAGAAAACATAAAATGGCATATGAGCACCAACTGAAGACATCGACAATCAGGTTTTCAAGCTTTGGGGAATTGATGAAGAGTTGGAACATACGATTATTTCTAGTATTTGTGATGCTTGTCTTCAATTCAGGGGCAGAGATTTTGAATCAACTCTAAAATTGCCGAGTATAGTCAAATCTTCAAGTACGGGGCACTTAGAAAAAAGTTTCTCCATTGAGGCACCATCTCCCCCATCAAATCTAACACAGAGGTACTTGAGACTCGGGAGATTGTCCTACATGTAATGCCAGTGTACATAAGAATGGTTTCTTCCCCTATTCTTGTGTTAAATATCCCTAGGTGCCCTTTTGACATTTGATAGTATCTCTTTACAGATCGAAGACAACTCGAGAGACTTCTCGGTGAGGAAGCGATGATGCCTTCCCCACAAGATCCTGAGCGCTTCAGCTATCCTATCATGGAGTTTCTATGGTCTTGCCAATAACAAGGTTTGGTTTCTGACTATTTGTTTCTGGTTTGTTAAGCAATAGATTGATTGGTTTGGTTCTTCTTGCTTGAAACTTGATAAATCTTGATGAATTAAATATTCATCCATTGATGGTTCTTCTTGGTTGGGCTGCTTTTCATTCTTTGGATATTGCATTTCTGTTTTAGATTTTGACATTTGATCATACCCTCAAGTATACCCAGTTTAATTTTCCTTGTAAATGCAAATGTAGCATTTTTGTTGTTGTGGAATGTGTGCAGGTGTCCTGGCCTTGTGACTTCGAGTTTACCAGTAAATTTATTGGACAGCAAACACACGAACCTAGAGCTGATTGGCAAGTGGAAAATTTGGAGGTGTTATCATTGGGTTCATTCGTAAATTTGGCCAAAATACTTGAAATTATACAAAAACATTGCAAGAATTTTTATGGTTTAGA